CACACAGCCCCGGGGCATGACTAGTGTGTATTCTTAGATAAGGCTAGCTAACCTTATTTATCTCTGGCATAGGGAAGTAGATACAACATCCTCTCTGAATAATGACTCACCCATCTCGCAGATATTGAAGGTTTGGAGCACTATCAGGAATGAACAACACTTATCCCTGAGGCTGAGTGCATTGATCCCGTTGACATATAACAAGGGGCTGGGTGGGGGGCTGGCCACTCCCAGTGCGTTGACGTTCAAGAAATGTGCAGAATTTTTACCATTGAAAACTGTACTCGACAATGCAGGAGTGACGGATTTCTGGGAACTGATCGTGGGGGTGGCTTCTACCCTGATACTTCTACCGCGGTACTCACAAGTGAAGCATTTTGATTTTAATTTGCCAAACAAATCCAAAGTGCATTGAGACTTATCATAGTTTGAAGACCTTTGTATGGGCACGGTGGATTTGGAATGTTGGGTATCAACCCTTTACCACCAATTACTAGTGGGTAACTTAAAATGCAAGGACTCCTTTAAGAGACAGTGGGAGAATCTGACATCTCAGATCTTCTCTGAACCCCAATTGGAGAAGATCCTTATTTTACAACAAGCTTGATAAGCTCCAAATACCAACAGGTACATTTTAAACTAATCTCACACTAGTATCGTACTCCAGCTCTTCCCCACCGAATATTCCCTGTGATCCCTGAGAATTGCTAGAGATGCAATTCTACGGTTGGTTCCGTACAACATATTTGGTGGGCTTGTTCCAAGATAATACCTTTCTGAAAGGAGGTCATCAGAATAGTGACAGATTCAACATGAATCCCCAAACTTCTGCATTGAGAATGGCATCCTACACCCAACTGTACTGCCTTCTCTCAATTGAAATAATCAATTCTGAGACACCTGGTCAATGCCGCCAAATCATTCGTGCCTGCGTTCTGGGAACAGACCAGACCCCCAACTATTGACCAATGGTTGCTACAGGTCAGATTCACTTAGCAGAAGCCATACAGGCAGAGCTTTTGGGCCAAGGCGACAAACATGCAGAGCACTGGTACTTATGCTATACCCACCTGGCGCATGCAGAGACTGGGGGTAGTGCGCAAGCTTCTAGCTGAGGTGGGACAGAGGAATCCACGCGCACACTACACACACTGCCTCTCTTTTTACTTCTCATTTTCTGCTTAATCTCTGTCTCTTACCTAGTTGGGCTGTCACTCCTGTTATGGCCTGGATGTGGGCTCTGGCACTGGGAACACAAACTCAAAGTGGGTATAACTCACTACTGCCATAAAGGAAGCTCCTCTCCCTGACTAAAGCACTGATAATACACTAATAGACTCATATAAAATATTGGATTCAGACCAATCCTATACTATACCATGTTGCATGGCTCTTCATTCACAGCTTACATGTTTACAGACCTGGTTGGAGTTTCCCTTTTTCTTAGTAATGTTGTAAATGGAAGGTATATGGGCACCTGTGGCACATACTACTTATTTGCCCCCCCATATTAATATGTTATGTAGATAGTGAACT